ATAATTTGAGAGGTGACTTCATAATATATTTTCAGCATGAATAAAACTCTTTTGGGATACCTAAACAATAAACAAATGAAAAGCTCCTTAATGATTTTTTAATTGAAGGATGTTTTGAGTAGAGGCTTTTCCATTTTCTTTTAACTAATCCTAGCTTTCCAGCCCTCTCTTTGTCAGTTTTTATTTGGTTCTGTAATTATTATAACACCCTTTGGTTCTGCAACCATGAAGTTGTATAAGTTGTTGGGTGTCCAGTCACTCAAACCCCAATCTAACCTGAAGTCCACTTCCCAAGACATTTGACTTGGTCAGGTGGCCAGCTAGTTCTAGCAAACGTCATGTGTGGGATGGTATTGATCCAGATGTTTTCACCCCTTAACAGATGCTAAGTGTTCCCTAAGTAGTGCCTCCTCCCTACTCTACTAACCCTTAGTAACCACTGATAAATTTGTCTCTCTGCATTGATTTGCCTGTTCTAGATATTTTACATAACTGGGATCATACAAAATCTACTCTTTTGCTTCTAACTTAACTTCACTTGCCGTATTGTTTTTTAAAAGTCCTTCCATCATTAATGTGTTTTTAAACTCAGATATTGCTGTACCTTTTCCTTATCCCCGAAAGAATGAAATTTTTAGTCCTAAATGCTGGAAATACTGTAATTCACGATATTTTATTTACTCTTTGCAAAATGAATGAATCGAACCCAGAATTTAACAGAACCAGAAAATGTGTTTAAAATAATGTTTAATAAGCATTTATTCATAAAAGTTGTCATTGATTAACATGGGAGAAACATACAAAAATAAAAGATCTATAAGCCTAATATGTATTTTCTTGGAACATAAGAAACATACCAGCAGTAAAGAAGTTCAATATGACTTTTTAATGTGAAAGCATCCTATTTCCACCTGGTCCAAACTCAAACTCACTCTTCCCCCGTTAAATATAGTTAACGTGGTTAAACTAGTTTGATGGCTTTGAGTAAAGGGCTGTATATTAGGGGAAGTGAAAGGAAGTTATTGGTTTTCTCTGGTCCTCTGATTGACCTTAGAGCTCTTTGTTGTTGTTATGTGCCAGTGGAGTTGGTTCTGACTCATAGCGACCCTGTACAAGGTTTCTGAGGCTGTAAATTTTTACGGGAGCAGAAAGCCTCATCTATCTCCCGTGGAACAGCTGGTAGTTTCGAACTCTTGACCTTGCGGTTCACAGCCCGATTCGTAACCACTATGCTACCAGAGCTCTTTAAGTAGGGGCAAATGGTTAGTCCTGGTGTGATGCTGTGGGTTAATACGCCAGACTGCAAAGCCATTTGAACTGCAAAGCTGGTTCAAGCTCACCAGCTGCTCCTCGGAAACCCTATACAGGATTCCTATGGGTAGGAATCGACTCAATGGCACTTAACAACAACAGCAATGGTCAGGCCTAATAACACAATTTCTACTAAAACCGCTAGGGGTGCTCTTTCACTTCTGACTTGATGGATAGGCTTTTAGAGTGTTGGACTACTCATCAACAGCTTGACAGTTCAAACCTACTAGTCAAACCTGGGTCTCTATGAGTTGGAAGCAATTCGATGGCACGCAACAACAACGAGTCAGTACTGGTGTGTGGTGCTGTAGGATAAACACTGGACTGGTAAACTACAGGCTGGCAGTTCAAGTCCACCAACTGTTCTTGGAAACCCTATACAAGTGGCTGGCTATGAGTTGGATCCAGAACACAAAAACAACATGAGACAGTCCTGGTGTGATGCTGTAGGATAAGCACTGGACTTTTAATAATTTTTTGTGTGAATTGAGTGATAGTTTACATGGGAGAACATAGCTTTACATTCATCCTATCGTATTTCATTTCATTGCAATGACCTCAATCCCCTCCATGCATTCAATAGCATTTGTTTCCAATACCTCTGTTGTTGTTGTTGTTGTTTTTGGATGTACACCAAAGCACTCAGGAATATATAAGCATTTAAACAGCCAAAGGGTATACCCTGCGTGCCAGCCCCCTGTCCACCAGCCCACAGCCCCTCTCCCTCCTTGAGTCTAGAGTCCCCAGCCTCTCTGTCTCTCCACATCATCGTCTCTGCCTCCATCTCTGCTGCTTCTCTGGCTGGATAGAGTCCCACATTCTGCTCTTCTCTCTTGATGGTCCCACGGTCCTCTGCTCCTGGACTGCAAGATCAACCACTCCCCTCCTTTTGTTACAAAACATCTACCTTTACATTTGCAACATTCACAATTAGTCCTGATAACAATTATTCACTATTGAACCACACAAGTCTTATCCCCATCTTTTTATTACCAATCTCATCTAGATAGGTTAGAAACCACTCAGTGGAGAGTCTACCTTCCCCTACACCCTCTGAAACTAAGCTCCCTCTTGAAAGTTGTAAGCCAGTCACTTCATGCCTTTGTTCCCCCACCACCACCACCACCATTGTTTTGTCTATGTTGTTTATCCCTGTCAACCCTGTGTACAGAAGCACTGGACTTTTAACTGCAAAGTTGGTGGTTGAAACCCACCAGCTACTCCTCAGAAACCCTATACAATGTCACTATGAGTCAGAACTGACTCAATGGCACAACATGAGTCGAGTTTACAGGAGGACAACTATTCATTTGGGATTTTTTTTGGTTAGAGCTGTTTTATTACAATATAGAACCCTCTTTGTTATAGGTAAGCTGTTTACCCAGATGTGACATTTTCTATTTATAGGGAGGACCTAAGACCAAGTGGAAACATATTACTCTTTTTAAAAAAGGAACATGATTAACTTGGAAGACTATCTCCAGACCAGCCTGGGGATCAACTCTCTGACCAAAGAGCAGGTTTCAACCTGAGAATACTTAGCTGTTTTGCCTGAAAAAGAGTGGATGGGTAGTGATATTTTTGACAGTTTCCCTGTCTTCCCCAACTGATATTCTAGAGGTCAGCATCACACATGATGGTTCTGCTCACAGTTTGACTGTATTGTATTCTATTCTTGCTTGAATTGAGTCAAGGATAAATTCTCATTCATTTATAAATATACCAAAATTAAATGAAAAAGCAATATGTTTAAAGGTGTAATCAAATCAACACCCACATCCAGTGCTAATGGTATTGATATATCAATTTAGAAATAAATTAGCTACATATACCAAGTACTATAAAAAGCTATTTAATTTTGTAACCTCACTTTTTGCCAATAATTTGAGGAAATAATTGAAAATATGTGCCAAGAGATTCTCTAAAATGTTTGTTTTAGTAAAAAATGGATATATCCATTTTTAAAATGTTTAATTAGGAACGAAGTTAAATGCTCATTTGATGGAATATTGTGCAACCACTACAAACATCTAAATATCATATTAGTTGGAAAATAAAACTTCTAATATGCTAAATGAAAAAAATGTTTATAAAAATTAATTGTGAAAAATGCATATAAAATTGAATATGTAGCATAGATAAAATTATTTTTAAAAGGGTCTCTAGAAAAATCCTAGATTATAGTTGAGTTTTAAATTTTTTGTTTAGTGCCATGTGTTATATGTGATAATAAAAGTGATAAGTACAAATAATGACTTTTATAAAGTCTCATCAGACTGATGTCTTTTGGTTATTTTGGTCTGGGGGATAATGATGCATAAAAATTTTGTTCTGTGCTTACACTGTGAAAGCTAAGCCTGCTTAAGGTTATCTTAGAAATGGTATTTTCACCACAGAAAAACAGTGAGAACCATTCTGTTCTGTATTCAACAAGGATTTGAGAAAGCACAAAGTCTTATGATTGCTGGGCACAACTTTTTGTCCTTGGGCTTTCTGTAATTCTCTCACATCTATGTAAGATTTATACCATCAGAGAATTCATTTTATTTCATGGCTTAAAATTGCAATAAAATACGATGAATTATAGAAGCTACATTTTTAATACTTGAAATTCATCCCCTAGATGTAATATTGAACAATATTTGGAGTTTACAAAACATACTGAAGCAAAAACCTAATTAATACCAAATCTAATATACTGCAACTTAACAATACTTATTTCGTTTGCCATCTGTTTTTTTTTTGTGTGTGTGTATGTGTGCAAGACAAACAATTTGTACAGAGTTGTTTATATGAATTCTGGGTTACTTAAACTTGTTGTGTAAGGACCTTTTTTCAATACTTCATCCTTTTGTACATTGAAAAGAATACGTGTGGTGTCCCTCCCTTTTTATTCAACTTTCCTATGCCTGTTCTTTGTAGGTGTTAAGTGCTGTCAGTCAGTTCTGACTCATAGCTACCCTATAGGGTCTTCTAGAAGCAGCTGGTAGGTTTGAACTGCTGACCTTATGGTTAGCAATCCAGTGCATATCCTACAGTGCCATCCCAGGACTCCATTCTTTATAGATTTACATATACTCAAAGCATGCTTTCTCTGAATCAACTGTGATATATTTGTTGCATTATAAAATATGAGTTCTGCAGAGTATACATATTGGTAAAAGAAATATCTAGGAACACATTTAACTACAGAATTTATTATGACAATATTTATGATCAGCTTTACTTCCAAAAACATAAGCAAAAATCTCATTCTTTTTACTGCATTTGTGTCTCTTCTTCAGATATACAGTATAAAGCTTCATTCAGCAGCCATGATCCTAATGCTTTGTGTTTCCCTTCACTCTGTCCTTATGCCACAGGAGGAAGTTACATGCCATCCCTTCGAATTTTGCAAGATATTAGGTCATGCACATTACACACAACAAAGAAATCTCTTAGTGTGAAATTACAAAACTAATCTCAACCTCAACTCTACCACTTCCCGAAACAAGAAGCAGGAAACTACACTGACTGATTTGTCACTAACCTGGATTGAAACTTGGTGTTATCTTCCTATCTGCAGATTTCTCAAATCAAGGCAATGTTTCCCTCTCTATTCACAGATTTCAGGCTATGATAGAAGAAACTGTTCTTAGCTGTACTCATTTTTCACAATAGTTCAGAAATTGGGTAAATTGAAATTTGCATTAAATATCTGTTTTTCCATTCAGCACTGATGACATCTTTGAGTTTCTTTCCCATCCCTGTCGGATGCGAGTAAGGGTCTTGTCTATACATGGCATGATGAGGATAAACTTGATCACCAACACAGTGCAAGGAATGATGAGTGCCAACACGTAGGCTGAAGGGAGCCCCCATCTGAGAACTGAAGGGCTGAGGAATTTCTTTCCCCCATACACCAGTGTGTGGGCTGTGCACAAGATCAGGGTCAAATAACCGAGTTTGGACTACAAAGCAAGAAACAACAAAAAAATGTAAATGTATTATTTGCATTCATATAGAAAACACTAAAAGCAATCACAAACATTACCTATAAAATTTAGGAAACTGAAGGGAGCATTAACCCTCTTTGGGAATGATAAGTACTTCTTCAATAAAGAAAAAAAGATTGTTGCTTAGAAAATACATGGTAAGTTCATCTTAAACTCACTAGACAGGAGAGGTTTCCGGGAGTTACTCTTTTGGGTTAGAATAAATAATGTATCTTTCCTTCCTCCCCAGATGGTATTCTCGGGAGGTCAGTGATGAATCAGACATACTGTGTCCTCAAGAAGCATCTCATTAGTATATGTTACTGACTGAAAGCAGATGCTAGCTACTTTCGATAGCGATAAAGAACAATTAGGAAACTTTACTTTTTTTCTTTCTTTCCTACTTTCTAACGATCAATGTTTATTCCTGTCTTAATGTCTTGAATAAAGATGCTAACATCAGAAAATATTGACTACATTTGGTCCCTGGGAGAAACTGCAAACTTGAAATTCAAATAGTTCTATAAAATTCAAACCTAATTCCCAGCTACTAATGGTCTTCGATTTTACTGGTTTGCATTAAGCATATATCAGAATCATCTGGAAGGCTTGTAAAAACATTGCTCAGCCTCACCTCTGGAGTTTTTGATTCAGTAGGTCTAGGGTGGGGTTAAAAGAGTTGAGGATCTAAGAAGTTCCCAGATGATTTTGATGCTGCTGATCCAGGGACCACGCTGAAAACCACAGGTTTAAATGAATTGTTACGAACCACCGTTAATGAGGTGACTGGTGGGTGGTATGAAGAAAAAACCTTTTTCATCTTACACACCAGCATTAAATCTGACATGATGACTATTATATCTTGCTTTGAAGGTTTCCCATGTTATTCCAATACATACTTGCCTATATCAGTACATTTGTATGTTGTTGTAGTTAAGTGTGGTCAGTCGATTCTAACTCATAGCTACCCTTGTGGTTAGCAGTCAAGTGCTTAGCTTACAGTGCCATACCAGGATCCAGTACATCTATAAGTTGTTCTTGTTAAATGCTGTCAAATTGGCTCTTACTCATAGTGACACTGTACAGGGCTTCCAGGGAGCAGCTGGTGGGTTTGAACCACCAACCTTTCCATTCACACCAAAGAGTGCTTATCTTAGAGTGCCACAGCAGGACTCCTGTTGTTGTTAAGTGCCATTGAGTCAGTTCCATCTCATAGAGACCCTATATAGGGTTTCTGAGGAGCAGCTGGTGGATTTGAACTGCTGACCTTGTGTCACGTAGTCCAGTGCTGATCCTACAGCACCATAACAAGACTCCTAATAAAGGTTAATTTTCAGAAGTAGAACTTTTGTCTTTGGATTCGCTTCACATTGTATTTAGAGCATCTTCACAGAAAAATTTTATTAATTTTGGTGCTTGTCATTTTGGTGTCTTAGCTGTAGCTTTGGGAGCAGTAAGAAATCTTGGTAAGATAATGCCATTATGGAAATCACACCATAATGGAACCTGCCCTTTTAGCCTGAGTTTTGCATTTTCTAATTTGAGTTTGTTTCTGTTGCTTTGTGAAAATAAAATTGCTAGAGAAGGAATGGAGCTAAATGAAAGTTGGGCATGATATGAGAGAAAAATGGTGTTCAGTGAGTCCCTGGGTTATGAATAAGATCTGTTCCTAAGTGTGTTGTTAAGTCCAATTTATAGGTAAGTTGGAACAAATGCATCCAGTTTTTATTTAGCCTTCAGTGCATGGAAAGGCTTGTAGCCTCTTCAGTGATTTAAAAGTTCACCTGCAGCAAGTGAAGGTGATTGTGATGAGAATTGGAGTGATTGTCTTAATAGTTTCAAAGTAAATTTACATCCTATTAAAAGTAAGAGTTGTCTGTAAATCAGACTGTCTTACCTGGGGACTTATTGTATTTGTAAAGTCATATTCATTTTGCAATTTAAAACAGTTCAAACCTTGAAGTCCTTACCTGTACAAATCGGAATTCTCTCCAGTTGACCATGTTGCTAACTGATGGTAATGATGTGATTCCCAAGAGTACAAATAGGAAAAATCCAAGGATTCCCAAAGCCACATAGGAGTCACTAAGCCAAGCTGAAGAGGTAATGAATGGACTGCCTTTATTGTTTATCATCTAAGGGAAATTACAAGCAATTGAAAAAATTACATTTTTTATAAACCGCATGGTTTATTTGCTCAAGGCATATTTTAGAGTAACTCTTAATAATAATTTAAAAATATTTGAAGACAAAAATACATTTAGAAATTATGTTTTTTGTGGAAAAGATAATTTGCTCTGTTGGGACTTTATTATAATATTTGGCTCCAGAAGTTGTACTGGAAGGTTTTGTTTTAATTTACCTTGTAAGTCCTAAAATAAAGTAAACATTTACTTAAACTTTCTTTTGCCATATGGCTTTTTGTTCCCTGAGCAAAACTTAATGATTTCAAATGATATATCAGAAACCTTGATGTGCTTGATGTGCTTCCTCATCACGCATACAAAGTTTGAGTTCTCTGCTGTTTATTATACTATAATATAGCTTCAACTCTGTGGCATCACAGGTAGATAAGCATCAAGCCTTACAGAGTGACTCTTACTCAAGAATTTTCCATGAAAATTTTAGGGCAATCATGGAGAGAGAAACCCACAGAACAATGATTTACTGACCAATAATCTTTAAGACTGTTGTAAGGTAGATCAAAATGAGTTATTTCTCAACTAGAAATTATAGCACTTTCTCTGGGACTGGTATAAGAGTCCCTGAGCTGATTTTATGTGAATTTTTTGGCTATGTAAAGACACTGCTTGACATTTTCATAGAACTTGTTTTTAGTTAGTGAAGACAACAAAAGTCAAATATTAATGTGCATGTCAAGGGAAGAGATGGATTTATAAGCACCCTGTTGTGAAATTGTTTACATTCCTGTAGCACATGTGTGAACAGTCCCTTTACTTATATGATAATTACATTTGACCTCCAAACATAAGTAGTATGCATTAAAATAGAAACACATTGGTTTACATTTATTGGCTGTAATCCAAGTGACTTTAAGTGAATTCAAGGTGTCACTCAATTTTCTGAGGCACAAAATCCATCAATTTTCCAGTCTCCTAGCCCGTCCTGGGAATACAGATCTGGACCTGAATGAATCTGGGGAATCTAACTTTTTATAGATTCATTGCAATAATTATAAGAGATCATAAGTGGATTCCTTAAGAAACAGACAATAGGTTTCTAATTCTATTTACTTAAATGAAGATGCTTATAAGAATTATTTTCTAGATTGGTGAAATGGATTATGTAGGAAGATATAGCAAGAGTCATCTATATGTTAAGGAAAGGAGAATAAAGATGAGTAGAAATTTACCTCGGTAATGGTTATGTTTTTCAGCTTCCATCGTACGAAATAGCGGATGGGAATTACAAGTGTGTAGAGGACGTGAAGGAAGGCAAAGCCTAGTGCTACTAAGCCAAGCTGCTTTCTGCAAAGCATCCAATGATCCAGCCAGTCTGGGAATCGGCGGTATTTTGTTCCTCGATACAACTGCAGAATGGCAGCAATAACACCGGGGAGGTAAACCAAGGCAAGCAGTATAAGTGCTGCTATTGGAAAGATACGGTTTGGAATCGAGATGGCCATCCGGAAGGTTGCATCTTTCTTTTCACAAATATAAGGGAAAATTACTTCTCTTATAACACAGTAGAAAAAGAAGAAGATACATAGCACCGCAGACAAATAGAAAGGGAACCTCCACATTGGAAATAGTTGTAGCGGGTAGTTTTCAATTTCACTGGCTGCTGTGAGAGATCCTTGATCCAGTGGAGTAAGTCCAAGAGTACGAACAATATCCATCACTCTTTGCTTAGCTTTGCTGTCATTTCCACAGACAAATACCTGGATTAAACATAATAAACTCCATAGTTAATATTTACTTAATAATTATTTAGAAGTCTTCTGTGCACTATATAAAACAATAGCATGTAATGGTGGTGTGTTATGGAATCGATTCTGATTCATAGTGACCCTGCATAGGGTTTCCAGAGCTGTAAATCTTTATGGGAGAGAAAGACGCATCTTTCTTCTGTGGAACAACTGGTAGTTTCGAACTGCTGACCTTAAGTTTAGCAGTCCAACTTGTAACCACTACCCTACCCGAGCTCCTTATGGCATATAATAGTGATCTGCTAACAAACGTATACAATTAACTTAGTTAACAAAATGGAAATTTTAAACTTGCCTCTATCTGCTGAATAGCCAAGCATTAGATTTCTAAGTTGAGGATGGCTTAAGGCATATCATTCTGATATGATGAAACTTGGGTTTCTACAGTGTAAATAATTTGATCTCTTTTCTTTGTCTGTGAGTGTCATACAATTTATGGATTGTTTCTAACCTCAGCAAATGAATGGAATCTGTCTCACACAAAGTAAAAGAAGTGAGAAATAATACCCACCATCAAGTTAATTGTGTTAGTTTCTAGCATTGACAAGAGGTCTCTCTAGACTGTCATTATTGGGTTCTAATTGAACTACAAGCTGAGAGTGCACTATATCCTGGAACAATTGATTGCAGTTATCTGGTCAAATACAAGAAAATTATTCCTGGCACACATCGGCAGAATGAGATCTTTAGCACATATTATATTATGGAATCGTTGAGGTTAAATGAATATTAAAAGACTAATGTTTTAAAGATAGAGTGTAAATTGATCATTGGGACCTGGTGTGGTGCACTAGGATAAACACTGGACTGCTAACTGCAGGTTCGGTGGTTCATACCCACCAGTTGCTCCTTGGAAACTATAGGGTCGGTATGTAATTGACTAAATGACTCCCAACAACAATAACACCAAATTCATTATTTAATCTTACCTGTCGACTTGCATCCAGTGCCCCTGACTGGAGAGCCCAGGCTGAGATGGTGTTAAATGCTTTCACGACATATGTTCCAGGCACCAACTGAGCAAGGTACTCGGCATTAGATTCTGGATACTGATTAATTTTGAGGTTGTTGCTGACGTCGACCAATATTTTCCCATTTAGAACTAAAGTTAGTTCTGTGAGAAAATCATAATGTTCCCTATGGATTGTTACAATTATGATGTCAGATTTCTGGGCTGCTTCTGAATAACTCAAGACCTCAGCACCGCTGGGCAGCATATTGGACATCCGGGGATTTCGGCTTCCGAAAACAACTGAATAGCCACATTGGAGCATTTTAAATCCCAATGATCTTCCAAAATCTCCAGTTCCAAATATACATACAGTTTCTTGCCTTTCTGAAGAATTCATGGTAAGAGGAAGCTCATCTGTACAAGTGTTCTTCATAACTGAAAAATAATAATACAAAAATCCAACAAAGCATGAATGCCTGGGGATTAAAAATTAATGAGAGTTATGTCCAGGAAGCAGCGTAACTGGGATTATCTTTACAGTTGCTCTAATCACTAACGGATTATTTTTAGAGTATTCACCTAATTTTAGGAGGAGTAAAAAACATATTGATTCACATGTGTACTTTATTTAACAAAATTATTAGTAAATATTTCTTTTCTGCTGGAGGGAGAGAGGCAGTGATAAACCAAGACACTCACTGGTAGATACATTAAACTATGGGCATTACAGTGATACTGTACTCATCGAATATTCATAGTTCTAAAAGTTCCCAGAGTCAAATATGACAAAGAATGCATTGAGGAGAAAATTATAAATCAATTAATTAATGTTTAAACCAAAACCAAATCACACTCACTGCCATTGAGGTGATTAAGACTCAGAGTGACATTTTTTAGGGTTTCTGATGATTTACGTTTGTTGTTGTTAGGTGCCATCGAGTCAATACTGACTCATAGCGACCCTATGTACAACAGAACAAAACACTGCCTGGTCCTGGGCCAACCTCACAATTCTTGCCACACTTGAGCCCACTGATGCTGCCACTTTGCCAATCCATCTTGCTGGGGTCTTCCTGTTTTTCTCTGACCCTCCACCTTACCAAACATGACCCTTCTCCAGTGACTGTTCCCTCCTGACAATATGCCTGAAGTATTAGAGCCAAAGTCTGGTCATCCTGGCTTTCAAGGAGCACTGTGCTGTACTTCTTCCAACACAGATTTGTTGGTTCTTTTGGCAGCCCATGGAACTTTCAATTTTCTCCTCCAACACCATAACTCAAAGGCATCAGTTCTTCTATGGTCTTCCTTATTC